ATACTAAAAACTTGCAAAGATTTTGTTTACTTTTTTACTATTGTCAATGATTTTCAGGGGTGAACCGGAAAGAGTTTAAAATTTTTATACTGCAGTACTGTATTATATTTTATCTTTCTAATTTTAATTAAGCAATTGAAAAATCACCTGATTTTACATGATATCATGACCTGCAAAGGCCGCCGGATAAAGCCAAATTAGTCAAAGAACTTGTGTCTTAAGGCTTAAAATAAACTTGAAATTTCGAGATTGACTTTCGTTTCAATAGCAAATTTCAACAATGGGGGGTTTCATCAGAAATTTGTAAATTTCAACAATGGGGGTTTCATCAGAAATTTGTACGTTGCTTATTTTGAAATAAATACGTCACTTATCTTATCTGAAATCGGACGCCTCTGAAACCCTCTAATATCGATCGTACGTATGTAATGATCTTGGTGACTATGCTGCAAAATTTATATAAATACAAAAATCATGAATCACATTATTTTCTCAAACCGTACGTACAAGATAATATTCAGAATACTGTAATATACCTGCAATTTTGTAAGTTCTGAATTTGAGTGTTGCCAAGCGAAAACTTGCAATTTCGATTTTTACCGGCTCCGATTCCTGATAAATTAAATTAAGCACAACATACATATATTATATGATGTGTTAAATCACATTTTTCGGGGTTTGATCTGTAAAATTAATTTTAGAAAACTCCCAATTCCTGGTTTTCGCTTGACGAATCTCATTTCACGTTTTAAACGTATTACCATAGTTTTTGCAGATGACCACTATCAAAATTGTTATACGACCATACATTTTGTGACTTTGTTCCTACGTATTTATATAGAATTTTTTAACACTAATATTTGACATTTCTTAAAGAATAATGCCCCAACAAGAAGGTACAGTTTTGTCTAACAAACATTGTCTTATGTTAATATCAAAATTTTCAATGACTAATACTGCAATTGTAAACATATAGAAACTATTGATGGTTTGATTTAGCAAATATTTGGTTGTCTTGTGTTAATTTTTAGTCTGAACAAGTTTACTAATCATCTAGCTTTTTTTTTAAAGTAATTGAATCAGTGACAGATGATGGTTGGTTTTAACAATATTGGTTGCCTTGCATTAATTTCAATCGGAATTATACTAATGTTATGTTTAAATCTGTAGTTACAGTGGAAGGTAATAATATATCTTGATAACTATTAATTTAGTTCAATCACAATTATTAGTTATTAATTTTAAAGATGCATCTATGTTTTTAGGATTAAACTCAGATGAACTCTCATTGTACAACAAATTGGATAGTCAAGAGAAGATGCTTTTTTTAAATTTAATTAAGAATGCAAAAAATGCAAAAAATGCAATTAAGGAAGCAAAAAAAAAAGGTAGAGAAGAAGGTATAAAAGAAGGTAAAAAAGAAGAACGCAAAAGAGGAGTATGTTTGTTTTAATATAAATCTATTTATCTATTTATAGGAAGAGAAGAAGGTATAAAAGAAGAACGCAAAAAAGGAGTATGTTTGTTTTAATATATGTCTATCTATTTATAGGACTTTACTAATATTATATTAGTTTATTCGTCGTTTTTTTTTCAAATATAAATTCTTCATAAATTTTAATAATCACTTTAATTATTATTGGAGCCACCATAGTATTTGATGTATTTGATGTATTTGATGTGGAAATAACAAATAAAACTGATATTGCAATTTATATATTAGCTTTAAATTCAATTATATTTGGTATTCAGTTATTTTGGTAGTCATCTGAGAAAAAACAGAAACCCAAAAAAAAAACATTTTATTTTTACATTTCTTTCTTACTTTTTGTAATTGTTCTCCTGATAATTTTAGTTATTACACCAACCCTTGCTTTAGCATGGGCAGGGGTTGGTGTAATGTGCTTCAATCTCGTAAGAGATTATTTTTTATAATTAAAAATTAATTTGTTAAAGTCACATACACAATGTAATTTAAAACTTTGAGCAAACAACTCAACAACCACTGGCAAAATTTTTATTTTGATTCTCTGAATATAGAGGATTCGAATAAAAAAAATTTTTTGATCAAATTTGAAAAAGCTCAAAACGCCTATCAGAATAAAGAAGCTGTGCCATATATTTTTTTTAAAAACTTTAAGCAAAGATATTTCGATAATCACCTGATCACATTCGACGAAAAACTTTTTATTTCTATCCAAATCCAGATAAGGTTTGAATTTAATAAATTTAAATTAAAATAAATTGTAAGTGAACAATTTAAGTTCCTTTGCATAATACATGAGATGTAGAAAGCAGACCAGTAGCACGCGAATGAGGACAACAGTCATATGAATTTTTAGCCAATCATTAGATGAACCATGAACATCAAATAATCGAACAATGCTCTTTAGGGTTAGAATTCTATTATATATTAAAACTTTAATGAGTGAGTTTTTCTGTTAGAACATAAATGACAGTTTATAGACAAATTATATCACATTATACTCAATATGCATTACTATTTATAAAATATAAGTTTTAAATTATATTAGCCTTCTGCCCTTGTCTTGTCACGAAAATTTTCTTGAAAAGTCGTTACTTTAAAAAATTATATTACAGGACTTGCTTCGGGTAATCAAAGTATGTGTTAAGATAATTTGCATCGGAATTATTGTGGCTCCAACTCCTATCATAAGCTACAGTAAAACTTACTTGCTATTCCAGTGACAATAATTTGTAGTTAAGGTTTTGTTTATATTGGAGTTATTGTAATTCCTTTCATGAGTTACTATAAGAAATTCTGTTACAAAGCTCACTCGCCATTCCGATAATCAAAAATGTAGTGAGCTAATTTTGTATTGGAATTATTGTAATTTTATAAAGGGTTGCTGTTGCAGAATTCGCTATCCTTGTCAGCATGGTATGTATTTAAATTAGTTTGCATCAGAATTATCGTGACTTCTATCATGAACTAAAGTAAAACTTACTTGCTATTCCAGTGGCAATAGTTTGTATTTGAATTATCATAATTCCTATCATAAGAAATTTCATTACAAAATTTATTCGTCATTCCGGTAATCATATTACACAGTGAGTGAGTTAGTTTGCATTGGAACTATCGTAATTTTCATCATGAGTTGCCGTAAAAGATCTCGTTAAAGAATAGTAGTCAAGATCAATTTAGTTTGCATCAGAATTATGTGACTTCGACTATGAGTTACAGTAAAACTTGCCATTCCAGCAACAATAGTTTGTAGTTAAAATTAGTATCTAATTATTATTATAAGTCGCTATAAAAAATTTTGGCACAAAAATTTACTTGTCATTCTGGTAATCATAATGTGTGGTGAATTAGTTTGCATTGGAATTATCATAATTTTCATCATGAGTTGATGTAAAAGATCTTGTTAAAGAATTCGCTATTCTAATGAGAAATAATATGTAGTCAAAGTCGAGTTAATTTTATATTGGAATACAAGTAAATAGGGTAGCGAAGCTACCCCAGTAAGAACAGTCAATTCCGTGAGAATCCAATTCCCCCCAGAACTTTACATTTCCATAACAACTATCATATTCTATTATTTGTATTTTTACGTTGACTGGTATACATAATTAAGTATAATAATATACAGCACAAATTCAACTGCTCATGGTAATAATGTCTGGCGCAGTCTTGATAGTAGAGCTTGGATCCGGTGGATAACGGTTATCCATTTAGTCTATTTTTCGGATAGTTGCGAATTTTAGATATCCGCTTGTAAATTATCTGGGATAAATCCGTATTACAGCTGTTTTCATAAATTCTGGGACACCCTAAAAAAATTTTCCGAAGTCTATTCGGCCGAAGTCGATAAGTT